TCAGAACTTTGCATGTTTTTTATTTATACAAAAAAATTTACTGGGTGTCTCATAAGCAATCTGGATGTTACTATGGTATCAAATATGTCCTCAGACAATCTTAAGCCGTATATTAAAGATGGACTTTCATACACCCACATCCACATTATGTATTGCCATACTTTTTTTCTTTTTAGGAAGTTGTTTATCTATTAAAAACCCTATACATTTATAATGCCTGGGTTTAGAAATGCTACAGAGTATTGGCTTTGACTGATACATCAAATACCATCAGATTTATAAAGATTTTTCTGTCCAGGCTAAAATTCTCACTTTCTGAGATAAACTTTATACAAGGAAGCACTGGAATCTGAACAATGTGCTGTGCTACAGAACATAATACGACTGTTTCTTAACATGAATTTCCTTCACAGCCAGGAATCAACCATACAACTTGATGCATACCTGGCATGTACAGCTAGAGGTTTGTCTATTTACCAAACTTTATCTAGCCTGTAACTCAGGTTAAAGACTGTCCTACCAGCCCCTGCTTTGTGTGAAAGGCTTTTTAGTCTAGCTGTATTTAACTTCTGTCCAAGAAGAAGAATTAAATAACATAACTTTAAAAAACAGCTTCAACTGAAGTTAAACAAGCACTTCTGTTTAATTTTGAATAGTTTTCCAGGATGATGTATAAAGAAATAGACTAAATTCATCTTCTTAAAATTTAGCTGATATTTTTCCAAGTGAGAAAAACAATATTACAGTCCTTTACTTGGATTTATTATAATTTTAAAATCATATTGCTGATCAACAGTGGATGAAGCACTCAACAGGAGTACTTGAATGAAAGTATTGATACTCATAGTCAAATATTACTCAACTATGAGTAAGAGTTACTAAATCGTATATCTACTCAAGTTAAAGTGGTAGAGAAATCACTTTTGAAAATACTTAAGTATTCAAAAGTACATGCTTTTAAAAGTACTTAATTATTCGAAAATACAAATTAAATTTTCCAACATTAGTACATTTCTGTGTAATTTTCAGAGTAATTTTAAAGAACCTTGTATCTTTCAGAAATCACCTCAGATAGTGATGCGTAGAACCAACTGTTACAAATTCTGCACCACTTATATATAACTTTAGCATAAAAATGCCACATAAAATCAGGACAGCTATTGTGGTTATTATTTTCTTCTCAAAACAAACCAAGAAGAAAACAGGAGAGTCTGATTAATGTCACTCTTTCACTATGGAATAGAGGTTTAAGGTTGAATCTATTACCACACACAAAATCTATTATCACAACTCTGATTGGAGAATTCATCCTACTGAACAATTTGGCTACAAGGCAACAACTCATAGCTACATAAGATTTTTAAACTACAAATAATATCTGCACTGAGTTTCTCTCATTTGTGGAATGTCATGGAAATCCCTTAAACAGTGGTTTCAAAATTCAGTCCTAAGGGCTGCTATCTTTCATGTTAAAATTGCATTTGAACGAATAAAAATAACACAGATTACAAAGCTAAGCTGAGGCAGAAGTAAAATGTAACCATCAGCTTCCTATAAATTTAGTGGAGTGAAGGTTATAAGTACTCCCCTGAAAATTACCGTACTCAAGTAAATATATTTAACAAGTATTTAAGTGCATGAATCGAGTAAATTTACTTTGTAACATTTAACCACTGCTGATAAATAGGTTCTGTTGATGCAAGCACTAAGCCAGTGTTGGATCTGACTTAGGCCTGTGCTCCCATCCAAACCTAAAGCTTAGAGTATAAACAGATAAAACACAGCTCTTTAGTTCCATACGTTTTTACAAGTATAGGCTTTTTGTTATTTAATGCCACTGCATCATTAGGTAGTTTTAGAAAGTAAAAACTCTATAAAGACACTCAAAACACATCAATGTACTGTCACCCATATGTCTGGAGGAGAAACAGGATGAGGAACTGAAAAACAGGCCCAACTATATGATTTATAATTAAAGTTGTAGATGACAGCAGCCCAGCTGATGCCTTCCTCCGAATGGCGTAACAACCAAACAGGACCAAGGCAGATGAAATTACATTACGGGAAAATCAGAGACAACAGAGTTAGACGTTTTGCTAGAAAATATGCAGAACTGGAGAATAGAGCTGAAGCAGAATAATGAAGTGTGGTCCATATGTCTTTTAGCTGCAAACCTATAGCAGTATAACTATTGAGATAACAGGAGAGGAGCCTGATAACTAAAAGATCTGACTCCTATTCTACTTTTAGAAATTCTAGTTCTAGTACTCTAGTAAACCTACAGATTGGGAGTGAAGTTCTTTGTAAAGGTACAATCAGATCTTTGATATCTGATGGAGCTTGGTTATTTATTGATTTATATGTTAGAAAGAGGATTTAAATATTTATTCTGGAACAGGAAGTCAATGAAGAGAATCTAGGATATGAGAGACATGATCTCTATTTTTAACAACACAGAGTCCAACACAATTTTGCATCCTATTTCCATTAGCCTCCCAAAAAAGAAAAGTAAAAGTAAAAGTAAGAAATGCCTACAATGGCGTTTTTATGTTTGATGTTCCTGATTCTGTGTCTCAAATTTACATAGATGGAGTTTATTTAAATACATATTAGCTTTACCAGTGTTGGGATCAAATGTCGATGATGTAACCAGAACTACTCCCCTCTGAAGGCACTACCTTCCGATTGAGTTTAGAAAAGCAACTTTACCATTCAACTTCCTGTTGCCAGTGGCTGTTACCATAGACATTATGTACGTAGATGCCTCTAGAGGGCGACCAGCTTGGATCAGAACATCAGTTCAGTTCAACAGCTGTCAGAATCAATAGGAGGTCCCTTAGATCTCATTTTAATCACACGAAAGACAAGTCAAAGATAATATTACAATAATCACAGCCCCTTAGAAGACCAAAAAAAATTCTAAAATTAGATTACATATTTTTATTCAGTTTAAAAACTATTTAAACTGAACTCAAACTGTATGAGATATATGCAAAGTTATATATATTTTTCAATTAAATATTAATATGATAAACGCAAAGTTTTATATCAATATATTGTGAGCTTATGTTATAAAAATATGATATATTTATATAATATATTATTATTATTTGGTATTTTTAAGGATTGCTCTTTGATAATGAGTATTATGATCTATAGAGGTCATTTTTTGCGTTGCGGTTCACATTTCCAAATATATGTGACTTGTATGTGATCTCCTGTGTGAACTGCAGTCATACAACCTTAGTGTCCTGCATGCTCAGTAGAGGACGCAATGACATCACAGGCCAGGGTGCTCTGTGTTTACGGAAGTAAACATGGATGACAGCACCGGAGCGCATCCAGCTGTCTTTCCCAACCTTAAAAACACAATCTTTCCA